TTATTCTAGGCTTTTTTAAAAAAATATTTTTTTAGTTATAGATGGACACAATACCTTTATTTATTTCTTTTTATTTTTATGTGGTGCTGAGGATCGAACCCAGTGCCTCACACATGCTAGGCAAGTGCTCTACCACAGAGCCAGCCCCTTACCRTCCTCATATATCACTTGTTGAACAGCCCGGTTGAGACACTGAGAACAGTCAGCACCACAGGACTGGTTCAGGGGGAGGATGGACATGGGCTGGAATATGCAGGCCAGACTTTCTGGTGATGTAAGATCTGGGGATCCTGAAATAGTGGGTGGGATCTGATGAGGAGGTACAGACAGGCAAACAACATAAGCCTATGGAAGGCCAGGTGTGAGGCTTCCTAAAATTGTGTGCCCTGCAGAACTGCTGCCAATACTACCATGACTCTAAGGACTGACTTCCCCACCCCAGCCCCCAACACGGTAGCTTGACACATCATAGCATATGCACAGAGGACATTAGAAACCCCAAGAGAAGGGCTGGGTACAGTGGCTCATGCTTATAATCCTAGCAACTTGGGAGGCTAAGGCAGGAGGATTGCAAGTTCAAGGTTGGCCTCAGCAACTTAGTGAGAACCTGTCTCAAAAAAAAAAAAAAAAAAGCCTGGAGATGTAGCTCAGTGTTAAAGGTCCCCTGGGTTCAATCCCCAGTACTGCAAAAAAAGATAAAAAGATATTCCAAGAGGGTGCACATGGCCTGTCCTTCACCAGTTGATGAGTGGAAGGCTGGCAGAGCTGCCCTTGGACTCCCAGACCTACCTTTCATCTTTGTCCAGAGAATTGTATAATTAATAGCCTAGAACCGCAGACTAGGTAATGCTATGTGGGTGACTGGACATTCAGTCCCTCTAAGCAGTGGTGGACCAGCAGGGAGCTATGGTTAACCTGCCGGGGCGTGGTTATTATATTTTGCTATTATTATTCTTTTTCAGAAATTTTATCTGAAGGGAATTATGAAAGGAGACTTCCTGGGGTTTATTAGGACCAAGAGCATCTGTCTGCCTTCTAGGACTGCGGGTTTCAGGGAAGCGCTCAGAACTCAGAGCTACCCACTGGCCCTCCTGCAAGCCACACACATGGGGGACTAGCCTGGGGTGTCTTGAGGTCAGGGAGGAGACTGACCTGGGTAACGTAGAGGGAGTGTCAAAGACCAGGGAAAAGACTGCCCATGGCATGATGGGGCAGCTGTGATGACCGTCTGTGCAGACCAATGGTGTCAATAGGGTGGACCTCCATCAGTAGACACCCCCGGCCTTCCTCTGCCCTGTCTCCCTTCCTTCAGGCTCCCCCTCCTTCCAAACACTGCACAGATTCTTCCTCAGCGCAGAGCTAACAGGTCGCCCTGCTGCCAGCTTCCAGGAAGGCTCCTGGCCTCAAAGCAAAACAAGTTCATGACGTCTAGCCACACAGATCACAGCTTGCCCATTACAAAGTCAGGGTTGTTCAGTAAACTACACCAAAAAAAAAAAAAAAAAAGATATTTTAAAATGTCGCCGGGCACAGTGGCACATGCCTATAATCCCAGTGCCTAGGGAGGCTGAGGCAGGAGGATGGTGAATTCAAAGCCAGCCTCAGCAATTTAGGGAGGACCTAAGCAACTCAGCAAGACCCTCTCTCTAAATAAAATACAAAAAAAGGTCTGGGGATGTGGCTCAGTGGTTAAGTGCCTCTGGGTTTAATCCCCAGTACTAAAAAAAAAAAAAAGTATGCCACCTTTGTTCAAAAGGAAATCCTCAGTGATGGAAACGAAGAGGAAACCCACAGCCAAAGCAGTTAAGTGTAAGCTGAAACCCTGGAGATTTTAGAGGAGCCAATGGCTCCAGGGCCTGGCTAAGGTTAGGACGCCCGGGTGGGAACTGGAGCTGGGGCCTTTGGCTTGCTTTGAGGAGAGAAAATGTTGATCTGAGCTGAGGAGGAAAAACAAGAGCACCAAACAGAAGCTTTCCTTAAAAGGAGGTCAGAAAATGCTGCCCACCAGCTCAGGGAAGTATGAGGAAGCAAATTGTCTGACTTGGGTCAGAGATGCAAAGAAAAGATATATATCACCTGTCAGAAATAAACCYTCTGGGACCTGCGGAATGGGTGCTGAGTCCCAATTTCTACTACCCATGAGATCCAGAAGCCCAAATGGGGAAACCAACACTATATTTGGTCTAAAACAATTAAAATCTCTGGGATCCTAGAGATGCTAAGGAAAAAAAACTACTCTGTAGAGGCACTGCCACAACCCAGGGCACATGGAAGTCACACAGGAAAAGCAACTCCTACTGAAGATGAGCTCATAATCAAGAAGCCACACATCACATGAGAAAATGAGCCTCCAGGAGCAGAAGCCAACAGTTGCCTCCGCAGGTTCTCAGCATCTCAGGGAGCTCACATTCTGGATGATCGGAAAGAAGCTGTCATCGAATGCAAACCCCACATCTCAAACACAGAGCACAGCGGTCCAGCCCTCCCAGGCTGCACTTCCTGGTCCCAGGCTGCCTTCTGTGCTCACCTTCTCTGTTCATAGCATTCCAATCCCTATTTTCATGCAGGATCAAGATCTTGAACCATCTCCAAATTCTTCCTCTCTCAACTTCTTCCCTTAAAAATACAATTTTCTCCTCCCTGCCTCTGCCTCTCTTCTATTCTGCGATGGTCACCCAGCTGGTTTCCCTGCCTTCCCATCTCCCACTTTTCTCTTTATCTCACCCCCACACCCCCATTAAGTTATCCTCCTAAATGAAACAAAGCTTCATGATTTTTGCATCTCTGAGCCAAACTCCTAAAATATGAAAGTCCAAACAGCCCTTCTCAACTTGGACCTTAACTTCCTTTCCAGTTTCATCTCCTATTACAACATCACCTTCTCCCTCCTCACTCCAAGCCCCTGTTCCAGGTACACCATCTTACTTATTCTCCCCGCACCCACCCACCCCATGCTTCTGATCAATCTCTTCCCTTTGACTAGAATGTCCACCCGCCGCCCCAACCCATCTGCTGATGGAAGGCCTTCCCTGCTTAAACCTTCTAGAAGCATGATGTGGAAGAATGCAGGCATCAGGGATAGAACTATTTGGTTTCGAATTCCAGTTGTTTCTAATTATATAAAATGGGAATAATGCCCACTTTGCAGGGAGTGAGAATGAGAGATGGTCTCTGTAAGACACCAAGCACAGAGCCTAGCGCCAGCACTAGGCATCTGGAACCAGAGTTCCCTGAGACCTGAGGCCCTATCTCATTCATCTTTGCATCCTTCGAGTCTAATAGAAGACACTTTGAAGTATGTTGACTGATGAAAAGTAGAAAGAACAAGGCATGCCAAAGCTGGTAGAAGGGAGGAATGTGGGTAAAAGATCTCAGATGTTAGAGGGGACTGAGGTCCAACTTACATTGTGATGCTCCAAAGAGGACAGAACCACCACCAGGAGCTATAAGAAAGCTGATCTTTTTTTTTTTTTTTTTTTTTTTAGTTTTAGGTGGACACAATATCTTTATTTTATTTTTATGTGGTGCTGAGAATTGAACCCAGTGCCTCAAGCATGCTAGGCAAGCGCACTACCGCTTAAGCCACATCCCCAGCCCCGAAAGCTGATCTTTTTTGCAAGGTGGTGTTACTGAAGATTGAACCCAAGGCACTTTTACCACTCTGCTACATGCCCAGTTGTATTTGTTTGTTTGTTTATTCATTTGAGACAAGGTCTTGCTAAGTTGCTGAGACTGGCCTCAAACTTGCATCCACCTGCCTCAGTCTCCCAAGTCTCTGGGATTTCAGATGTGCCAACACGCCTGGCTAGGAAGCTAATTTTAATGCAGGATCCAAGGACCATCTAACATTTAGGCTGTTTCATTTGAGAACGGATGTCAAATGCACACTTCTTGCCATTAAAAAACTCAGATAACAGAATGCATTCTGGGATTGGATGAAGGACAAAGCCAGATTATTGATCTTTACTTCTGGGAATCACAGATGTCTTTGAAAATCTRACAAAACTTATGGATGTCTCTCCTAGAAAAATGGCCCAAAGCATAATATTTTGCAAATAAGCTCAGGACCTTTGTGGATCTCAGGTAACAGGCACTTGGAAATCCTTTTAGAAAACTGTGTTCAACTTTCCATTTTACTATCCGTTATGAGGGAGAAGGCACTGCGGTCATCCCTATCTTCAGAATTCCTAACTCCCCTAAAACACTTGGTTCACATCTAAAAGCTCCTTTGCCTTTTTTTTTTTTTTGGAACTGGGGATTGAACCCAGGAGTGCTTAACCACTGAGCCATATCCCAGCACCCCCTGGCCCCCATCCTTTTTTTTTTTTTTTTTTCCGAGACAAGGTCTTGCTGAGTTGCTTAGGGCCTCACTAAGTTGCTGGGGCTGGCTTTGAGCTTGAGATCCTCCTGCCTCAGCCTCCCAGGCCACTGGGTCTTAAAGGAGGGTGGGTTTTGGAAGCCCTAAACTCAYAACTGCTTGCTCAGGGCTGGGGGCCCCAGTGAACTTCTATAATGCAGGTTCCGTGGCAGCCAACCCACCTGCTCTGGCTACTTGTACCAAGAAGGATAGTGGCACATACCCAGAGGCCATCAGGGAAAATCACTCATAATGACGGCAAATGTGTCCAGATGAGACTCAAATTTGATCTTGAAACCTCTCCCTTTTATTGAACTTCCATCTCCCTTTATGTGACCACTTGTGGCTCCATTCACACTGGATAATGAGCTAGTCAATGAAACACGTTGAGGGTTTTCTTTTCTTATTAGAGTACCATTATTCAGAGAATCAAATTGTTATTCAAAGATTTTTCAACATAAATACCACTGAAAATGAGTCCCGAGAAGAAAGCATCCTGTTGGAGAAYAGAAAGACTTCTGGTTGGATCAACGGAGCTGAAGTCGCTCCAGGATCAGCTGGTTCCTCCGGTTCACAGGAGCCAGGATCAGATGCTCTGGCCTGCTCAGGGTGTCTTGTGGTCCCTGTGCCCGGCCCCACCGCCTCAGAGCTGGAGGCACAGGCGGCGGCGGGATTTCAGCAGAGCCTGCAGGCTCTTCCAGGCCTCGGGCAGCCCCTGGCCGGTGAGGGCGCTGCAGGCGCGGAGGTCCCAGCCGCGGTCCGCGAAGCACTCCAGGCCCAGCCTCCTTCGGATCTCCCGCAGCGGGAGGGCGTCGGGGGCCTCCTGCTTATTGGCCAGCACCAAGAAAGGGACACCCGTCAGGTGGGGGTCCTTCAGGACTTCTTTGAGCTCACCCACAGCCTCAGGCAAGCGGGCTTCGTCGGTGCTGTCCAGCACGTACACCAGCACCTCAGTGCCCTCCAGATAGTCCTTCCAGCTTGCCCTGAGCTGAGCCTGGCCCCCGACGTCCCAGAGGATCACCGACTTATGCCCAGGAGCTTCAAGAGGCTCCACATTGAAACCGATGGTGGGCAGGGTCTCCACTTCCTGGTGGCCCTTGAGTCTGTACAGGAGGGTGGTCTTGCCTGCCCCGTCCAGGCCCATCATCATCACCTGGGCTTCTGCCTTGTGACTTCTGAAATTCACAGACCCCATGGTGGCCCCTGCTGAGTCCCAGCGTGAAAGGCTTTAGAYTTTCTGAAGGAACACAAACCCACACGGGCTTCTGCTCTCCAGGAGGACCCAGGCTGAAAGGGCCAGGAAGTGAGGGAGCCTGGTCCCCACCAGCTGGCTGATGGCTGGGGCCAGCTTCAGAGGAGAGTGGGAGGCCTCCTAGAAGACACAAAAGGTGGGCTCACGTTCCTCAGGAGTTAGAGCAAAGAGGGGAGATGGAGTTCCACTTAGACAGACCTAGTTCAGTCGAAATTWCAGAAAGAGGACTTCCATGTCTGCTAGTCTCTCTGCTTCCTTTAAGCCTAAACCCAGAAGGGACAGCTCTGTGTTTCCTTGCAAGGTGAAGAGGCCCAGCTAGGCCTGCTGACTTCCTCTACCTTGGACACCGCCGCCCCACAGGCCCAGCCCGGTCCTGTCAATAGTGACTATTTATAACCACTATCTGGGGGCAAATTTATGACTCGGCTGCCAACTGGTTTCCTCCACTGACTCACCCAGGCAAATGCCCTCCAGAACACTCCACCTGTTTTTAGAAGAACTCACACCAAGAYAGAAGACCTGTCCCTGAGTCAGGAGAAACATGGGTAGGAGAGGAAAAGGGACATCTCACCTCTGAGAGTGTGTCTTAGTGGCCTTGGAGGAAAATAAGATGCCTCTCTTCACTCCTGCCAAAGGGAGAAGAGTGAAAATTAAAATTACCTCAGTGTTATCTTTAGATGGCGGCAGAACGTTCCTCCTCCGGGGCTCTCTTCTACCATGGAGCTGCTGTCTGCTGGTCAGGCATGTCCCAAGAATGAGACATGAAGGAAGTGCTATGGCTATTGCAATTTCTCCTTTTTCTGCTTCCTTTCCCTACTGGGGACATGCCACAGAGATGTCTGCAGCTCTTCAGCTCTTAGTGGAATCAGGCCCAGCCACAAATAATGTTTCATAGCAACTCAGATCCTATGCCTGAAGAAGTCTGTAGGTTCAGCTGCCTTCCTATTTATTTATTTATTTGTTTGTTTATTTTTTTTTTTTTTGTGGCTCTGAAGATTGAACCCAGGGACTCATACATACTAGGCAAGTGTTCTACCACTGAGCTACACCCCCACCCCTTTTCAAATTTTTACTTTATTTTGAGACAGAGTTTAAGTTGCCCAGGCTGGCCTCAAACTTTGCAAAACTCAGCCTCCTGGATAGCTAGGATGAGGGAGGTGTCCTACCAGGCCAGGCTTCAGCTGCCTGCTTTTGCTCTTCCCCTCATAGTCCTGTGATCTCAGGGAGAGTTCTGAAAGTCTGTCTTCTTCCAGAATATGCATCAGTGTTTATCTGGTACCTGGAGATTCTTCTATTTGCTTGGGACTGTAGAAGTTGTCAGAATCAAAAGGAGTCACTATTGTCAAGACTTAACCATAAATACATAAATAGACAAAGAAGACAGAATGTCTTATCAGACATTTATGCTTAAATACATGAGAAGAAATATTCACACACACACCACCACCAACAACAACAACAAAAAACTGCCAGAACCACAAATTCACACACACACACACCAAAAACAACAACAACAACAACAACAACAACAACAACAAACTGCCAGAACCACAACCTTACACAAAAAATACTTCTGCAAGGACAGATCTGCCCAGCAACTATCTACTTAATCCTTGACACCATCCTTGTTATTGGTTCTTGCAAGTTTTCTTATTTTAAAATATTGTATGTAATCCTCTGCAGTTTTGCCTTTAAAAACTTCTCCTTGCCTCAACTTGCTTGAGTAAGCACATAGTTTACTATGACACGCGTGTTCCCATTGCAATGATCAGCTATTCCCAAATAAATATTGGTATACTTTGAAGAAGCTCTTTCTGTGGACAGAGTTGGAGAAGCTTTCTCTTGTCATCTGCGTTTACAGAACCATACAAGCTTTAAAGTACTGCATGAAAAAAAAAAAATAGGCACCGAAGGTAAATCATAGAAATTAAAAGGTAACATTAATGTGGTGGAACTGTGGTGATTAAAATTGTTGCTTAGTTTTTTTCTTGAGGAGTAACATTATGTCTCCCTTGCATAATAGATGACTCTGCCACAAAATAGAATTTAAAAAAAAATCAGTTACTCAGAATCCACTGAGAGAGCAGAACCACACTCCAAAGATTCCAGGGGCTATATAGACAGCCTACAGGGTGTTGGGAGGTCTCTTTGTGGCACTGATCTTGGAGTCTCAGGGAGGTTCTACCCTCCAGGGGCTAGACAGGCATTCAGAGGGAGGAGCTGGGAGTACTGCCATGGAGACCAGGCCTCCCCAGGTGTGAAGGAGCTTTCCTGAGACCAAGATCCTACATTAGGCAAGGAAGATGAATGCTAGGAAAGCAGTGGTTACTTTTACCCTGACTCCAGTTGTTCCCAAAAGCCTGTGTGGCCTGAGTTCCTGTGTAGAACCAGGCCTCAATCCCTTTAGCCCAACAAGGTGGACACCCCCATCTGGGGAGCCTGGGGGGGGCTGCTTCTCCGGGGAGACAACATGGAGCCCAGAATAACAGTGGGCCTTGATCTTGGACCACCTGGGGTGTACATCTGGCCTTTGCTACTTACCAGCTGTGTCACCTCAAGCATGTTCCTGAGTTTCTCTAAGCCTCACCTTCTTACGTGATAAAATGGGATTAATGGCTGTAATAATATACCTAACTTGAGGGCTATTGGAGGATTAAGTAAGTTAAAGCACAAGTACTGAGCCCAAAACCTGGCACTTGGCCCTGGGATGGTACTATTCAAGAAGGAACAGAGAGCCATCAAAATCAGAGTGTGGCTGGTACATGTGGAGTGTGATCACCTTTGAGGGCTTGTGACTGCGGCTTCCAGAGCTGGAAAAAGAAAGGTGGGGCGGGGCGGGGGGCGCTGGGGTTGTGGCTCAGTGGTAGATCGTTCGTCTAGCATGCAGGAGGCACTGGGTTCGATCCTCAGCACCAAATAAATGTAAAATAAAGATATTGTGTCCACTTAAGCCTAAAAAATAAATACTAAAAAAAAGAAAGAGGTGCTCTGAGGGGTTCACTCATACCAGGAGAGACAAGGGTCTTGGGCCCCACCTCTAGTGTCCCCAGGGCATCCCAAGAAGGTCCCCATAGAGAGCCTCATGGTTCAGAGTATGAATTTATAAACATACTTTTGTCAATTCTCATATGTAGCCAGGCCTTTGGCCAAGCCATGACCACCCCGACACATGCACAAAGCAGTTTATAATGAAGACTGCTACTTACCACATCTCCAGGGATCTGTTTGGCTCAACATCTGGGGCCGGTTTTCTGTGAAGTCTACCTGGAGGAGAGGAAGGAGGAGCAGGTAAAGGAGCTCACAGGTTATTAACTAAGTCAACTTTGGAAACGATGTCTGAACAGCTTGTTTGGAAATGATGGGAAGTTAGTGGTTTTTTAAGAGATTATTTATCATGGGACAGAACCCAGTGATTACTTTTATCTTCTCTATAGATAGGTCTAAAGGAGAAGAGTGCAAGAACAGGAACTTTGTTCCCCTGCAAAGTGGTGGAGGAATGCCCACAAAGTTGTCTCGTTCAGCCTCCTTTTCCTGAGCTTCATAACTGCCCTCACCTTTCTGTTCCTCTTGTGACCACATCTTTCTCTGATCTCTCACTTTCTCAACTTGCAATGCTCAAATTAATGGCTTTTCCCCAAGGACTGTGTCTGTTATTTATTTAAAAAATATTTTTAGCTGTAGTGAGACACAATACTTTTATTTTATTTTATTTATTTTTATGCAGTGCTGAGGAAGGAACCCAGAACCTAACATGTTAGGCAGGTGCTCTACCGCTAAGCTACGGCCCCAGCTCATTTTACTTATTTATTTTTTATGATGAGCAGGGTAAATGATTTAAGTTTGAGATGTTTGCGGTTGAGAAATCCAAAATACTTGAGAAATACTAGGATAATGATTATAGTTCATGCTAGAGTAGAATCTTGGGTGACAAACTTTAAACAGTTGTCAGAGATGGGCCACACAAGTCTAGCTGATATAAAGCATTACATTAGCTGTGATGGGTGGGTAATTGTGCATTACCCACCTGATCAGTTGTTTATTGCTGTATAACATACTACAAAATATAATGGCTTAAAGCAAAAACAAAAAAAAATATATTATTTTATATTGGGTTTCTTGAATTGCCTAGGTTTAGATGGATGCTTCTTTTTTAAAATATGTTTTTAGTTGTAGATATCCTCGATACCTTTATTTAATTAATTAATTTATTTATTTTATGTGGTGCTGAGAATGAACCCAGTGCCTCACACGTGGTAGGCAAGCACTCTATCACTGAGCCACAACCCCAGCCCCAATGGATATTTTTTTTCCTTAAGTATTTATTTTTAGTTGTAGTGGGACACAATACTTTTTATATTATTTATTTATTTTCATGTGGTGCTGAGGATGGAACCCAGGGCCTCACACGTGGTAGACAAGTGCTCTACCGCTGAGCCACATCCCCAGCCCAACCGACACTTCTTGATTGGAGCCTTTCATAACCTTGTCAGTTGAAAACTGGAACAAGATTTCCAAGGTTGACATGGCTGAATATCCAAGATATTTTCCCACTCGCATTGCTGAGAGTTCACCTTGTTTTGACTGGGAGCTCAGTTGGTCTCTCAGTGTGTCTTGGCATTTTCATCACTTGATAGCTTGGTTCTGAGGATGTTTGTTGGTTTCAGGGGTTCATTTCAGGATCAGCTGGCTCCATGGTGTTGGGCCTGAGGTAAGACAGAACATCATGGCAGAAGGGTACARTGGAGAAAAGATAGGCTGCATGGTTTAAGACAGCCAGGAAGCAGAGAGAGAGCAGAACTGTTTCTTTGAAAACTCAGATTTGATTTATTTATATTTCCAGGCTATCCATACAAAATTCAAAAGAYACTAAAGGGCATAGTATCAGGGAAGTCCTTCTTACTCCCGTGTTCTAGCCATGCGGGYCCTTTCCTGGGAAACAACCA